GGATGGTAGTCGGGGTTCAGGAGTGCGGTTAGTGTTGATTTTCGACGTTGGCGGCAAGGCAGATGTGGAGGGGGAGACATCGGGTGGTGTCGTCCGGGTGCCGCAGTTTGTACGAAGAGGTCCAAAGAGATCGATTGGTGCCCGAAACGTCCACTGGCACAGTGGGCAGGTCGGGGCGGTTGAGTGTTGTTGTTGCGATGCGGGGGACAGTTGTGAATTGCGAGTTTCGCGGTTGGCTTTCGCGGCGGCTATGCGGTTTGTCCCGTAGACCGTTCCGCCTGTCTTCACTGTCCTTCACCAGGTCAGCCGTTCCAGAGCGAGGTCTTGCCAGTTGGCAGGGTTGATTTGCAGGTGCTTCAGTGAGGTCTTCAAAGTATCATTGAAGCGTCGGATTTGGCCTCTTTCGCGGCGGAAACCCGTGGCGACACCTCCATGGAGGCGTCGTTTGATTAACCGCTCGTCGTCCATCCGCACGAGGTGGTCGCTGCAACGCACTTGCAGTTGTCCCAGCATGACGTTTTTATGGATGTGGAGACCGAGTCGATTCTAAACTGTATTTCGCAGGCGGTCAAAGGTGTGACTGCGCTAAGAAATCCGGCGGAGCACTTCGTCGCCGATTTCGGTGTTGAGAGAGAGAGTGATGCCTAGGTAGGTGAAGTTGTCTACCACTTGCAGTTGGGTTCCGTTCACGTTGATGTGAAGTGCGGTGTAGGCAGCGTCGGGTGGCAGTTGATGCATAACCACCGTCTTCTCCGTGTTTATGATTAGGCCGAAGTTGTCACAGGCGGCACGGAGAGATCCATGTTCCTTTGTATGTCCTCTCCCGAGGCAGCGTTGAGAGCGCAGTCGTCAGCGAAGAGAAGCCCATGGACGGAAGTTGTGGATGCGCGTGACTGGGAGTGCATCCGTCGCTGATTGGGGAGGTGACCGTCCGTCCTGTAGGCGATGCGGATCCCCAGGGGTGTTCGTTACGACAGGCGTCCATCAGTATGGCAGAGAACATGAAACCTAAGAGGGTAGGCGCGAGGATGCAGCGCTGATTCACTCCGTTGGTCACTGCGAATGCCTCTGATACGACTTTATTGTCCGTGACGCGTGCCGTCATTCCATCGTGTAGCTGACACACCATCTGAGTGAATCTCTCGGGACAGCCGAACTTCTGCACGATTTTCCACAGTCCTTCGTGATTTACCCCGTCGAAGGCTTTCCTCTGATCCACAAATGTGGAGTAGAGATGGACCTGCATCTCCTGACACTTCTCTGCGGTTTACGGAAAGAGAAAATAATGTCCGTGGTTCCACGATGAGGGCGGTAGCCGCAGTGGCTTTCCGGCAGGAGACCGTGTTCCAGATGTCTGTTCAGACGACTGAAAAGAATGTGAGCGAAGACTTTCCCGGCGATTTTCAGCGGGCCGATGCTTCCGTGGTTATTGCAGGTTTGGCGGTTCCCTTTCCGCTTGTGGAGTTGGACGATTGTGGCGTCCTTGAAATCCTGGAGGACTTCTCCTTGATGCCAACTCTCCTGGAAGAGCGCCGTCAGATTATCCATGAGTTGGGGGCCGCCATGCCTGTAGATCTCAGCAGGGATTGCGTCCGATCCGGGCGCCTTCCCGCTGGAGAGCTGTTACACGGCCTTGATGGTTTCCTGTAGAGAGGACGCAAGGTCAATATCGGCGTTGGTCTCCTCTTGGAGCAGACGGGCGATGACGGCGTCAGAGACGGTGTAGGGGCGGTTGACGACGCCTCGGAAGTGATCGGCCCATCGCTGTGGACTTTGTGTCTTCCCGATAAATAGGATTGTTCTGTCGGCGCTGAGAAGGGGAGTGGTACCTCTGGCTGTGGGACCGTAGGCAGTCTTGATCGCGGCGTAGATGTACTTTGGTTCGTTGGGGTCCGCGTATGCTTGAATCTCCTCGGTCTTCCGAGCTGTCCGAGCCTCCTGTATCTCTTGCAACCGCTGCTGCGCAAGGCGACGACTGCGGTAAGCTAACTGGTTGCTGACATATAAACAGTGTGCAGAAATATTCAACAGAACGGTATTTAGCTTACAACAAGGACAGGAACAGACAAGGAGACAGAGGGAAGCAAGCGAGAACTAGCAGTAATCACAGACAACAGAACAATATTCCCTTTACCTGGGGAGTCACTTTCCTCGTGCCCTCCAACGAGGTTACAGACGAAGCCTCGTCGCGGGGGTGCCGGGGCGGTGATTATTCCGACGTCCGACGGCGCGAGTGGAGCCGAGTTGCCGTGTGAGGAGATGCACACTCCGGTACCCTCACCAGCACGCCTGCATTACGCCGAAATGACTAGTTTTTGTATTCAGAACTTCGATATAAACCCACTTATATCCGATGACATTCATCTGTTGAGACTAAAATGGACGGTAAAGTGAGGGAATTTACTCATTTGACAGTTGATGAGAAATCTGTCATGTAGGCAGACTGCCTTATATGCTATCTACTAGTGGACCTTTAACATAATCTGATGCAGCCCACCTAATTTGGACTACTAGCGGTTAGCTAAGTTTGTGGTCATAATCACGATAACCTTTCCATTCCGCCTCCGGGACGAACATGCAGTCGTAGCCATGCTACCCTCCGCCTACACATGCGTGATTTGGAAACGCCGACAAACGACTTACGGCCAATGACTTACCGTATGTATGCTGTTCCTGCGTAGAATGCGCAGGCTGGTGCGTTTGAAGTGACTTCCGATGGTGCGGCGTAAGTGGCGCTATGTGCAAACATAAGCTGTGCACGTAATACACACTTACTGTTCTTAAAGTGTGCGAAACACTGAGGCAGTACTGTTTGTGGGGTGGATGCTGCCCCCTGAACACGAGCCTCAACTGAACAGTGCGCAGGTCTACTGATGTGGCAGGAAGGTTTAGTTCTCCCCCAAAAATGATGACGGATGGGCACGGAAATAAGGGCCGCGTATTAAAAGCGACCTTCTCCTAATTTCCGGGGGGAGGGTGGTTAGAGTTAGGATTAGGTCTATGGCTAGGGCTAGGTTTATGAGGGTTAGGATCAGGGTATGGGCTTGGTGGGCTCGAGTTAAAGTTTGAATATGTGGCTGGGAACCCCTGGAATTTAACACACAACCGTCTGTTGTACCGCGGGTTTGGCAAATGGTTCATAAGCACGTCATCAAACCAATATTCCTCAGTGCTTCCCACCCTGGCAGTCCCTATGGCTCCAAAGCCTGGAACAACAGCTGTCTAAGACTGATACGTCTCTGTCCGTGGCGTGGCTCCGTCAGGTTTCGGCTTGGTAGGTGGTCGCCCATTCTTGACTCTTCCTACCCTTCTTAAATATTCTTTGTCCTGGAAAAAAAGCAGTCATATCGGCGCCCGCCTATTTTTATGTAGACTGGTTTGTGCGATTGTTTATGGTTACGTGAGAGGGAGGGAGAAAGAAAGAGAGAGAGGGGGTGGAGGGCTCGACCATTGCAGTTTGCCACGGCTGCTTGATTCATGTTTTCTGGAGTCTGCAGTGTGTCAGAAGCATGGTAATCATGGGAATATAGATCCACCCCCAGTATTTCAGGTGGTCTCGCGCCAAATTTCAAGGGGTTTCTATTCCCCTGTCCCAATTTTAACCCTAACCTTAACTTTGACCCACATGTAATTTAGGGCAGGATCACCTGTAATACTGAGGGCCATCCTCCCGCCCCGACCCGCAGTGTTTGTGTCTCTTGTTCCAAATGGTATTCAGACTCATACTTGACAAAATGAAATCAGAGTACGTCCGAAACAGCAGCAATTATAAGCTACCGTATCATTCTTGGCACCCAACACAACGGTTTATTTTCAATACCTGGTAAAAGCTATCGTCCCAGGGGCTACTTGATCAGCTTTGGTGAGATTTATATGCCTTGAACTGGTACTGGTATTACAGTGAGCATATGGGTACCCAGCCGGTCAACCTCGACCCGAAATATAATTTATCCAATTAGAAATGCTGAGATTTTGCTGCTCCAAGCACGCGGTCGAGTCCATACCGGGTCTGGAATGTGCGATCCCGATGTGGACGGGTTAGAATTTTTTGTTTATTGAGGAAGACTTTCCTTTGTGTTGCTCCTTATTCTTATCTTACAATGTATTCGGTGGTGTCCGACTAGACCCGTCCGGTCACTAAAGGTACATTGACAATCGGAGCCCCTAGGAATTGGTCAACAAAAGCCTCCGCTATCTACAGGGGACGGTTACTCGCGCAACATATGTTCTGCTCTATCTTCCAACACCCATAGTGTTCCAATTACATGATTGGGTCAGAGCTGTAGCGACAAGTGGTGAGAATGTCTGTTCGGAGCGTCGCAATCATGAGGTTAAATCCCATGTTGGAGGAAAAGACAGGAGGCACTAGAATGAGGGGTTTATTGTATATAGGACCCTCGGTTGCCCTCCCAACTAACACCAGCCACTGGCTAAACCAGGACTGGCGTTGATTGCGTCCAGTCTTGCCTGAGAGTCCCCGAGACAGTGGTGTCAGCTTCTTTTGTAGGTTTCTGGGGCAATCTGAAGGGGTGTTCGATTTGTGTGTTGCACTTGCCATGAGCTGGTGTCCCAGTGGCTTGTTGCTGGCTGCTGAGGGGTAGCGCGTTTTAAGTGGCGCGTGGGCTGATGCAACTCCGTCCGGACGCAGGTGCGTCCGAGCTGAGGTCGGTCGAGTGGCTTCAGGTCAGCACGTCTGGAAGGCTTATGCATGGGGTGAATGACCTTGAGGCAGCGAGGCTTTGAACAATGACGCCAGACTGGCCATTGGAGGCGAATTTTGTTGAAGTGGGTCTTCCCGCAATCCACAAGACGTGAACTGCACGCGCTCAGATGCTATATCTGTGCGGTGCGCTATGATAGGCATATTCAGGGTCGTGGTGGGCTGGATCTTGGTGTCGGGGCGAAATTTATCTGGCTGTTTAATAACCTTCCAAATCCAGAGTTAACGTGACAGTTAAAATCTGCATCCTCTTGCTTATAGGGGGAAGATCAAACAGGATCGACTTCTCTGCCTCTTCTCTACTACCGCTCACATCCCATTCCAGTGCCGGGAGTGAGGTCGCCCAGGGATGAGATCGGAAATACTGATTGACGAGACATTTCTCTCTCATCTCCTGCGCGTCAGTCACATCCATGCTGATTTCCTGACTAAAGCGAGCATGACTTTATTCAGGCAGTTGTCCGATAACAAAAAGTGTTGCTCCCGTTTTAGATCCAACTCAAGGACACCAACCTGTTGGGGGTTCAAACTAACGCACATGTGACGACTCTTCGGCACATGCCATGCCTGCATTAAAACAGGGTCTACTAGCTTCACCTTGTTCCTCGGCGATATGTTGCTTCAATAATGCTGTGGTAATCATAGCCCAGCAACTGTGCTGCAACTCAACATGTATAAGATCGGGAGATGAGAAAATTTTAAATGATCTCCGCAGGTAACATGTTTGTCGTCCACAAATGAATCGTTCGAACGACGAAGGGATTTGCTTATTTAAGAATGGCTTTGTCGTTCGAATTGCGGTTTGCATTCACTTTCCATATGAATTAATGAAATGCTTTAAAAACGTACAATTCAGGCAGAAGTGGACGTAGATCAATTTGCCTGTTTGAAGAGAACAAATAAGCCCAGAAACTGGCGACAGGATCCATGAACAGGCAAGCATATACCAAATTGTAACCTTACCATGCAAAAACTGACCGACTTAGTTTGGAAAATATACGGGAAATGAAAATAGTGGCTATTTCGAGCTTATTGTGCAATCACTGATGTCTCAAATAATTAATATGACCGAAAATACAACCGTGTTCGCCCTCTGTGGAGACGTTCTACAAAGTAGTTCTAGTCAATGGACCAGCAACCCTGTTTCAGGGAAGTTTCGTCAATGACTGCCCATTGGAGAGAACCTTCGAGTCGACCGGGCATTTATAAACATAGGACTAGGCACAGACGGATTTTTTTGTCCTGCCAGTTCAAACAAGTTCCTAACTTAATGATTCAGATCGCGAAGGTACGTTCACACGTTGGATCGCAAATCAGCCAAACAAACACGAAAAGAGATAGCTAGATAATTATAGGGGAGGCCAGGACAACAAAACTGTCGGGCATATTCAGGCCCACATTCAGCCAGCCACACTTCCGAGTCCTAAACGATAGTAAGTAAGGTAAACTGTTGGAATCTCTCGTGAAAAGACGTAACTTTGTAACTCTATTTTGCCTAAGTTGCATTTTTGGCAGCTCACTGCGGTCAAACGCTTATTTTCTGCAGGCACGACTAGTTGTCGTCATATTTTTAGATTACTCTTGAAGTTTACTATCCCATTATTTGCTCATCCTGTAAATGGGATGTCCTGCAAGTGTCCTGGATCAAAACGGGGTCAGACTAGGTCGTGGCGCGCGTTTGCTGAGCCGCGCTGAGTCCGCACGATGGCTTAAATATTGTCGTAGTGCGCGTGGCACGCCTCATCAGCCACTCCGTCAAATCCCACAACCAGCTAGTTGGCAATCTCGAACAGTTGACTTGAGGGGTGGAGAGAGAGCATGAGTGAGTGAAGGCTGCATTTGGAAACTAACCCCTAAAACAAATCAACGTATTTGTCACTATGACGGAACTGATGTGGCTTGAAGGGCTGTCACTTGCTGCGGTAACTCTCAGAGCCGAGAATAAGGTTGCAATGGCTGCTCCTTAATGTGGCCTCATGACATTCTAACTTATGTGAGATCACTGCCTACCTTATTGCAGCTTTGTACATAGGGAGCGGGGACCGGGTACGGACTGCCTAACTTTGTCAGCCAACGCACCCCACACTCGCCTTCGGTCGTCTTCCCTGTACCCCGTAATCAAGACATGGTGGGTGTGGGAGGGGTGAGTGGGTGAAATAGGTGCTTCGAAAGTCTGTCCCGCTATAAACAAGCGTACGAGCGAATAATCGCTACTGGGCCCGACTGGCGGAGTCATGGTAGACATCGCCATTCACGAAGGTCGATTTATCATTATGTGCATACGTGAGTGTGTCTGTGTGTGTGTGCTTGTGGTCAACTTCTTCAATAGGGTGCCGTGCCTAAAATGGGAAGTCACACACCAGACAATTAGAGTAGTGTTAATCGTCCTCTTTGTGCATAGTTTTTACCACCTTTTTACGCTTTTTTAACTCCTTTAACTTTAGTATCACCCTCGGTTGCTCGTGTGCAGACTTCTCATACAGGATTAGATCTGAGCAGGCATGTGATAAACAGTCGGCAAATAGCAGTCGTTCCTCTGGACGTTGTATTATTTTTTATTTGTAGATATTGACAGCTGTTATGCATGCAACCCTGATGGGTCGCGCGAATAACAGGCCCAGACTACCCTACCCTTAAGGGTGGTTGATGACTACGTGTTTTCAGACTACATTTTCAGTCCAATTTCTGCGACACTTGTGCGCAGACTTCACTTCTAAGCGAAGTCCAAAGTCGAGGACCTTACTGAACTCCAAACCCATGTTCTTCTAATAGAGAAATCGATTGAGGATCAGCAGCCAGCCGGGAAAGTTTTAGATTGAGTAGAAGTACGGTCACATCGAAGCGCTGGACAAGGGTTCGGAAACCAGTGAGCCCTACTCATCGTCAAAAAAACAAGCCAATACATGCATGAATAACTGTATTAAGTATCTTGTAGTCTTCCGGTGAATGTTCTTTTTCTTTTGACTTTGTAGTCTATTCTGAGGCTCTCAGGAAACTTTTGAAGAGCGTGTGGGCAACTAAAATGAATT